GAATATGGCATGTCAGGTTTGGGATTCACTAGCGTCTCTTGCCTCTTGAGAAAACGTGTTTGTCCTCCTGAAGGATTCTGGGCTTGTGTTTGACAGCTTGAGTCAGTGTTTTACTACTTGAGTCCAGGACTCAAGTTCTGATATTTCTAATAATTTAGCAGAAGATACTGACACTGATATTCACACTGTTCACTTCTAAGTGGTGTGGGTGTGTGCTTACGAGTGCATTTGTTTGGCTCTTGTTTCACACACTAAGTAAACTTCTTTTAAAAATGGTTAGAACTGTGTCATTTGTGTCTCATGTAGACCTTGATGACTCAGACTCGGGTAATGGGGACTCGACCCCCGGGTAATGGGGACTCCACTCAGGTTGTACTTTGGTATCTCAGACTTGAACACTGGGGAATCGAGACAGGACTTGGACTTGTGGTTTAATGACTTGGCTACAACACTGGCTTTATCAGTTGGGTCATTGAAATGTCACCTTTCACCCGTGCTGCAGTTTGTCTCCTTCAGAGATGCACAGAAACTCTACTGTTACTTAAGAGCACCAGCCCCTGTATCACTCTTCAAGTTTTACATTTAAGACATTTGGCTGCTTCTCTTATCCAGAGTGACTTGCGGCAACTTTCCTCTCACCATTACTGAGAAGTGGAATCAAGCCACAGTCCTGAGAGTGTTACCGTGACCTTAGAAAACCTGTGCAGAAGAGATGACTAGGAAGTCATTTGGATTTTAAATAAATCTGACTAATTGTAATGACTCAGTCCCAAGTAGCAGTAATATCAGTCGTCTTTGTAAAGGAACTCTGGTAGTCTAATCATTTCTCAGCTACAACTTTTTGTGATTGTTTCTATTTCAATATATTATTTCTTCTGGATGAGATGAAGCAGCTGGTAAATGTTTGCCGCATGCATTTACCAAAGACCATCAGAGCATCATACACAGCATCTCTTACATAACCCACAGATTATTTTATTTATTAATATATTTTTAAATGCCATTTTCATGGTTGGGATGTGGTTCCAAACCATCTTACTTTGTGAGCCCTACCACTAGGACACATTTAAATGCTAAATTAAAATTCAGTTCTCCATGTCTCCATGCAGTTTGACCTCAAGTAGTAACATGTTTTAATGACCTGAAATGTGAACCACATGCAGGATCCAGCAAACAGGGCAGTGAGGCAGCTGTGGTCGGATGTTTGTGGTTGTTCCTCACGTCACAGCACTTGACTGATAAAACCTGAGTGGTTTCTGAAGGTCTTGGTGGCATGAAAGAGGTTCTGTGGGGAACAGAACAGGTTTCAGTGGGAGGATGTGTGGTGAATCACCACAGCGTGACAAAAGGCCCCCCAGAGTGGGAACAGATCCACGCATCTAGTGTAACTTCCATCTTTTTACTTCTTACTTAATATCAGTCTCTTGGAGCACTTCATGTGATTTCCTGATGGATAAATTGGACTGTCTGTGGATGTATTGTTTGTGTCAGTGCTGCAACAATTGGTCACCCGTCAGAAAATGAATTGTCATTAACCTTAATAAGCATTCATTCATTCATTTTCTACCGCTAAATCCCTGAGCGGGGTCACGGGTGGGGCCGGAGCCAATCCCGGCCGGCAATTGGGCGAAGGCGGGGTACACCCTGGACAGGTCGCCAATCCATCGCAGGGCCCTTAATAAGCATTTTAGTCATTTTTAAGAGGAAGTGCCATATTGTACTCCACAAGGCTAAAGGCACAGGGTGGATCTTTTTTTATCTATAAACTTTATTGTCAGCCAGGGATTTTTTTTTTTACTGACTTGAACAGGCGATTGGGCAAATTGTAATCCATCCATCCATCCATCCATTATCTATACCGCTCATTATTGAACAGGCTAACAGGGGGCTGGAGCCAATCTCAGCTGACACTGGGTGAGAGGCAGGGTCCACCCTGGACAGGTCGCCAGTCTGTCACATGGCTGACATGTAGACAAACAACCACACTCACTCCTATAGGCAATTTAGAGTCCCCACTCAACCTAAGCTGCATGTCTTTGGACTGTGGGAGGAAGTCGGAGCACCCGGAGGGAATCCACATAGGCACAGGGAGAACATGTAGACTCCACACAGAAAGTCCCCGGGTCAGTCAGGGCTTGAACCTGTGAGGCAACAGCACCACACCACTGCTGTGCCATGGAGGTAATGCATGGCACATACAGCGCCTAAACAAGCTCCTGGTTTCTAAGAATCAACGTGTTGTTTCACAGGTGGATATAACAGGAACGGTTGGTGTATTGATAAAAGGAAAATGTGACAAATATGACAAATGCAGTTGAAACAGGCTTAGTGGAAAAACGATGACGTATGTGGAGCATACTGATACTGTTCCACTGCTGTTTTTCAGCTAACAGTGGATGCAGGTGCGTATTAAATTGCTTTTTGTTTGCCAGTTTTCTGGAAATTGGGTTAGAAATTCATGCTGCATTTGGATTGAAAGGAGGGATGACATGCACCGCAGATCCCCAGCCGCAACTGAAGCTGGTATGTTACATGGATGGAGGTCTCTATTATCTGACTGTTAACAGAGAAAGCAGTGTTTGTGTAGCAGTGGTGAATGCAGGCTGTCTGTTATGTACTTCAGCCTTAAGTGACCCCGAATGCAGCGGCCTAATTTGAGAACTGAACTTAGATGACCAGAACTCACAGGTGGTTTGTCTTTTAGGCCTCATCTTTCATATGCATGCAGTGTATTGTCTTCACTGTTATTGCCCTAGCCCTCCAGCTGCTGTTCAAGAACGCTATTAGCCCTACTGCAGAGAGAGCAGAGAGCAAATGTCTCTTACAAAGAAAAGTTTGATTGCCTTAAGTTAGTTTATCTTCTCAGTGGCCAGAGATCTTAAACTCTGCAACAGTAAGAATACGTGCAGCCTATTTCTCATGGATTCAATTGAGAGCAAATCCCTGCAGGTTCCAAAATCTTGTGGGAACCAGAAGCTGTGGTATTAGCAGATCAATGTCCACAGATGTTTAATCACATATTAGTACAATGTTAAGGTGTCCAGTTACCTTTGGCCACAAAATGCAGCCCATTCAGAGAATTTTTGCCCTCTGTCTTGCCAAAGTTGTAGACAAGTGTGGTAGAGTAAAATTCCATGTTTTCCCTTGACACTCGCTGATATGTTGAGCTTTTCAGATATAATCCGGAATGTCGGTGCAGGCTGTCTTACAGCTGTCTAAGCAAACCAAACAGAAAGAGGAAATGCATCCGAGTTTAAAGGAACTGTTTTAAGCACATTGGAAAAGAACGTGTCCTTGACTCAACCCCACCGACACACAAATAAGAAACATTACATCAGTGAGGAGCCGCTGGGCA